GGAGACGAAGGGATGGGGCAACGAGGGGATGGGGCGACGAGGGGATGGGGTGACGAGGGGTTGGGGCAACAAGGGGACGGGGCGACGAGGGGATGGGGAGACGAGGGGATGGGGCGACGAGGGGATGGGGTGACGAGCGGATGGGGAAACGAGGAGATGGGGAGATGAGGGGATGGGGAGACCAGGTGCTGAGCATGGAGGCTGGGGGCAGCTGAGGGTCATGGGCAATGGCAGAAGGGAGGGCTCACCCAGCTTCATTTCTGGTCTCTTCTCTGTCAGTAGGAGGATGATCCAAGTGCTGCTCTGCAGCTGTCACCGGGGGTCTCTCGCTTCGTTTTGTTTGAGGTCTCTGACTTCAGTCTGCTCCTCTAGGTCTTAGCCTATGTCTTTATTGCCTTCTGTGTGTCTGAATTTCCAGCTCTGTCTGGGATACAACTGCTGCCAGAGCCCCATGGTGCAGCTTTTAGCCTGAACAGACTGGCATTCCCAGCTGATGTAGGAAAAGTGAAAACAGCTTCAGGGTGACACCCGCCACCAGGGGAAGTCCCAGGCTGGGGACGCCCAGAGCAGGGCGGGGCCAGGTGAGGTAGGTGACTGGAGTGAAAGAGAAAGTGACGTGGACTCAGAGGATTCCGTGTTCGCCCCCAGGAAGGCGAGGTCCTAAGCAAGACGAGCGGCAGGGCTGAGGTGACTTCAGCCTGACCAGCAGGGTCCTGACGTGGCTGGATCCTGGACTGGGTTGGGGAGGGATTGGTTGTTTGACAAACTGATTTAAATGGGAAAGGTGGGAAAGGACACATCTAGGAGGTGTTGCTGGAGCTTCTGAGAGGAGGGCTCTTTAGGGGAGAAGAGAAGACGCAGGGAGAGCATTGCTGAGGGTGGGGAGAGAATCAGAAAGGCAAGACACCCAAGGATTAAGAGAGGAAACCAGCTGTCCCCCACCTTTCTACACCTGGTACTGAGAGAAAGAGACAGAGTAGCATGTTTCAAAATCTTCTTCAATTGTCTCAGCATAGAGGGACCCAGGAACACGAGGCTCTGCTAAAGAATTGGATCATGGTCAACTACTTTAAGGGAACCACATTGGCTTGTGACAAATGCTTTAATTCATTCAACAAGTTTTTTTTCATCCCTGCCTTTGTGCCAGGAGGGAAAAACCAAACCAAACTTGTTGCCATCGAGTCGATCCCCTCTCATAGCAACGCTATAGGACAGAGGAGAACCGCCCCGTAGGGTTTCCAAGGAACCGTTGGTGGATTCCAACAGCCGCCCTTTCTGGTTAGCAGCCGAGCTCTTAACCACTGAACTTACTCACTAGAGAGAAGCAACAGACAGTCTCGGGGGAAAGTGAAGCCTGTGTTAACACATGTATTATGTCTGCTGCAAAAATAAGCAGGAAGGAGAGCAGAGAATGCAGGAGAGAGTCTGCCTTCAGTGAATTGGCCTGAGAAAATGGCATTTGGGGAAAGACCTGAAGGAGTGAGAGAGGGAGCCATGTGAGGAGGAAAGGGAAGAGCTTTCTAGGCAAAGGGAATGGCCAGTGCACAATGAAACCGGAGACACCCGTGGTTGGTTGAGCACTTATGTGTCTGCTCCTGTCAGGGAGGTGTTGCCACAATGTATTGTTGAACATCCACAGTAACACCAAGGGTGTACTGTGGTTTGCCTACATTCGAAGTAAATATAAAACTGTAGGGGCTCAGAGAGGTTAAGAGACCTGCCTAAGGTCACGTGGCAAGTTTCTGGTAAGGATTTTCACCAACTTTTTTTTTTTTTATTGTACTTTGGATGAAGGTTTACAGAGCAAACTAGCTTCTCACTAAACAATTAGTACACATATTGTTTTGTAACATTAATTACCAACCCCACCACATGTCAACACTCTCCTTTCTCGACCTTGGATTCCCAATCACCAGCTTTCCTGTCCCCTCCTGCCTTCTTGTTCTTGCCCCTGGGCTGGTGTGCCCCTTCAGTCTCCTTTTGTTTTATGGGCCTGTCTAACCTTTGGCTGAAGGGTGAACCTCAGGAGTGACTTCATTACTGAGCTAAAAGCGAGTCTGGGGGTGATGCTCTCGGGGTTTCTCCAGTCTCTGTCAGGCCAGTAAGTCTGGCCTTTTTCTGTGAATTAGAATTTTGTCCTACATTTTTCTCCAGCTCTGTCTGGGATCCTCTACTGTGATCTCTGTCAGAGCAATCAGTGGGATTTTTGCCTAGTTTTGCTGACACCCAGACAGTAACCACTGCCCTCTCCAGCTTCCCATGCAGTACAGCTAGATCTCCTGGATCCAGAAGTGATGAATTTCTTGGAGACAAGCAGTTGCTGAGACATTTTGACACTCGACTCCTACCCCAACCCCCTCCTTCCTCATTCATAATCCCAGGGAGAGGCTGGACAGGAGCTCTGACACGGTCTCAGTTATCCAGTGTTTCTACACCAGGAACACCGCAAGGGGGTGGCTTCAACAAACAGAAATTTATTATCTCACAGTTTAGGAGACTAGAAGTCTGAATTCTAGGGGAAGGCTTTCTCTCTCTGTTGGCTCTGGAGGCAGGTCCTTGTGTCTTTGAGCTTCTGCTCCTGGGACATCTTCACTTGGCTTGGCATCTCTCTTCCCCCATCTCTGTTTCTTTTGCTTGCTTGTTTAATCTCCTTTATAGCTCAGAAGAGATTAACTCAGGATATGCCCTACACTGAGCTTGACTCATTAACATAATAAAGACAACCCAAAGCCAAATGGGATTATTACCACAGGGAGAGAGGTTAGAATTTACAACACATGTTTCTGGGGGACACAATTCAATCTGTAACAGATACATAATGATGTTTCAGAACCAAGAGCAGGGATGGACCCAAATCACCTACCAGTGTAGTCAGCAGTTTTTGCCACTTGCAGGGGCCTCATCTCAGGGCAGTAGGAGAATTTGCAAACCAAAACCAAACCCTTTGTGCATCCAGTGGATTCTGACTCATAGCGACCCCATAGGACAGAGTGGGACTGCCCCATAAGGTTTCCAAGACTGTAAATCTTTAGGGAAGCTGACCCCCACATCTTTATCCCCCAAGCGCTTGTGGGTTTAAACCTCTGACCTCCCCGTTAGCAGTCCAGCTTCACCACGGTGCCTCCAGGGCTCCTGCAGGGGACGTTACATCAACAGTGAATTCTGAATATTGTGGACAAACCTCCATGATAGGACACAGGTCCGGTATTCTTTTAGAAAGGAAGTTGGGCCGAGCGGTTAAAAGCGTGAGTTGGGGAGTCAAAGGGTCTGTGTTCAAACTGTCCTCTACCCTCACTAGCTGTGTGACCTTGGGAAAGAGGCATGCAGTCAGCATCAAAATGTCTCCGCGCGCGCGCGTGCTCGCCCACGTATTTGGACAAGAAAAAGTAATATAATTGCTTGTGTATTTATGTGTGTGATTATCTAATGGAGACCCTGTGTTAAGCCCGTACCACGCTCTGAGCTGAAAGCTTTATACACAGGATTTCCACGACGTTACTAACCTACAGGAGAAGTAGAACAATGCCGTGTCTAGCTGAGGAAACTGAGGCTCAGAGAGAAGTAACTTACAGAGTCACTCTCGGACCAAGTGGCAGGCTCAGAAATGAAGCTCAGGTCAACTGCGTCACTAGCTCAGCATTTTTTGCTGAACGGTGGGCTTTAAACGATCCCACGGCAAACAAGGCAAATAAATAACACCAGACGACATGATAGCACGGAGGCAAAATAATTTACAAATACGAACAACACGTAAGTATCGGAATCCAAAACGTAACATAGGACCTTTTGACCTTTTCACTTACAAATCCCTTAGGGAATGCGGCCTCCTCAGGCGGAGGAATCCAAGAGTCACAGATTCATAGACTCTCACACTGGGGCGCAGAGGGGGTGAAATCAGGGGTGGGGCTCTGTCATGGTCCTGGGATCCGGTAACCACAGAAGCAGAGACTGGTCCTTGCTCACGAGGAGGGTCAGCGGCCTTGGTGGACGCAGGACTCAAGACACGTGAGTCGAGGGTCTTGAGCCAGGGCCTTGTCCCCCAGAGAGTCGGGCAGTGCTTCCATGGAAATATTGCCGCTTCTGGGGACAGCATTCTCCTGCTCAGGAGAAGCACACGCCTCTGTGAAGCTCCTGTTGCACCTACCACAAGTGATCCAAGACCGACCAGTGGTGACCGAGAGTGCCTGGAGCCTCGATCACCCATTGGCTGACAGTGGGAAAACCAGAGCAGCGCCTGGCAGCCTATGGCTAGACAGTTTGCATCCCAGGCCTAGCTGAGGAGCCAGATCAGACACAAGGCCCCAAATGCGCCACCTGCCTGAGGTCCCACGTGAGCAGGCTCAGGAGGTTGAAGATGACAGTGGCTTCGTGGCACTGAGGTGATTCCTGGAGCCCGGGAAGGAGGCGAAGCGGGGCTGAGCCTGGATTTTCCTACCGAAGAATCCCCCCACCAGCTGCTCAGCCTCCGCAACCTCAGCTCCCAGCCCGTTGTGCCGTGCACGGTCCTCCCTGCAGTCTACCCACCCTACCGCCGGCCCCACTCACAGCTCTCCGTGCTTTGTGCCGCCTCCTCGGGGGTCGGAGGGCCTTCCTGGACCAGCCCGGCCGGACCAGCTCCAGC